TGCATACATATACATAATTATACTCTATTTAGCACATATGGGTTGAAATATAACAAAAAAAATGTTTTAATAGCATAAATAGTGCATCATATTCTTTTTTTTTTTTTTTACTTATCAATAAAACTTTTCATCTCCAGAAGTTAAACTAAATATGGAGTAAGGATAATTGTAAACAACCTAAATCATTTCCACAGTCAAGTGAAAGCCACGGGATGTTTCCTCGGTTGGCGCCGTCGCCCTCTCCGCCCTGAATCACCACACTCCGCCCACTCGGGCCTGCAGGGGCCGGGAGGCTGGCTGATCCTCCAGCAGGGCCGGGGCCAGCCTATACATCCCACTGGCACAGGACGCCCTGCCAGCAGCCAATCACGGAGCCCCGCGCTCATGACAGCTCATTACCACTCAATTAGGCAGGTGCACCTCCACACACAGCCTTCCGACAAATACAGCCCTCCCAGATGCATGTTTAACATTCGAGAGAATTATATAGTGACAGCAAACACTAAACACCTCACCCTCATCACTTGATTGCCTCAAGATTGAAATCCTATAATTGGCCCGGGCTATTGGGAGGGGGGAAAAAAAGAAAAAGAAAAAAAAGAAAAAGCCAATGAATATGATCCAGTTGACTTGTAATTGAACAATAATGAATTCATATTCATAAGATGTTTGCTGGCAATTACAGAATCTGATTAGGCACAATTTGAAATGACATTGTTCCCTGCTAAAGAGTGTGTGTGGTGTCAGCCTAATAAAGAGGAGGCGAATCAGAGCCGCTGCCCGGCCGCCAACATGACCTCCAGAGATGAGAGACATGCTGACACAGTGGCTTGGCTGGTGACAGACGGGATTTGGCACCTATTGCTCTTTGTCCCCTGAATTCTACTGCTTATGTTCACTCGCGCCGCAAAAATTTTTTTAAAAAAAATAAATAAATAAAATAAAGGTTAATTTTCAAATCTGAACACCAATAAGCACAGACTGTGCACATCACGAAAAGACAAGCAAGGCAAAAAAAAAAAAAAAGATGATCCCTGGAGAGGAGATTCTAATCAAGATGAAATGATTTACAAATCTATTTAATAAGGCTTGCCAGAAGTCAAACTTGGCATGTAAATGCGGTGAGGATTAAATTTCATCGGCAACCAAGACTGTAACTGATCGCCTGCAGACAAAGGGGGAGCCTGCCAGTTTTTTTGTTTTCCTAACCCTCCACTTCCCTCATCCTCCCCTCCCTCTTTTCTTTCCCATGCCTGCATTTTGCCTCGTGATCCCTCCCTGGCTGCGTGGAAGGACAGGGGCAGTGCAGAGTGGTGCAGTACAGAGAGGAGAGCAGAGGAGAGGAAAGGAACGGGGG